AATTTTTGGGATGAAACGATTAATTGAAGTTTGAATAGTAGAAGAATGAAATCCCTTAAATGTGATATGAAATGCCCGCGAGCAGACAGACAGGAAGAAGAAATGATTCATTGAATGATGTTTCTTTGGAAACTCTCTGCTGCATGACACATTCGGGGTGAAATGTCCCAATTTCAAAACGTGCATTCGATGACACTGTCAGCATTGTACCCATCGGACTCCCTCATTTAAGTATAATCAACACAGTTTCTCTTTTTTAAAATAACTGATGGCTGTTTCTTAAACAATTGAATACAATCATTTCTTTCTTTAAAATCTTATTAAACTGAAATATATGATAAATTTATGAGACGAAAATGCTAAATGTGTGATTTGTTTAGTAAAAAACAATTTAGAAGAGAAATGACTGGTGATAAGCGAGCAAAAGCAACAGCCAATCGACGGGTACTGTTCGAGTATCCCGCACTGCCCACTCTCGAACTTGGCCTTTGCTACATCGTTGTTGGATGTAGCATGATTTATGCATGGGGTCAAGTGATCATCGCCAGCAATAAATACCAATTTCAACATTGGCATTCCATACGACTTAATCGATTGCCATTAATCGGTGAACGATATGTGGTTTGTGCTCATTTGCAAATTGCATGCATACGACAAAAATTTTATTCTTTCTTTTTCCTTTTCATCTTTTGCTTTTGACTAAACTTTTAAAACAGTACTACTTTATGGAACATTTGTTTTTAGTCATACTTTAACGAGAACATTACTAAATTAGATGGCGCAACTGATTACATTAATTTCGGTAATACTAATTCTTGAAAAAGCTTGCAGAAGGATTTACCTAACTATAAAAAATAGACTTTGCCTTTTAAACAATGATTGGATGCAACTTTTTATTATATTATTTTATTACTATTGTTATTATTAAAGTAAGCTAAATATTTCCATCTCACTACCTATCTATTAAATTAAAAGATTCACATTAATATTTACTAGCTAAGCTAAAATTATAAATGTGTACTAGTTTTAGCTTAGCTTAACTTCAAGACATTGTTTGTCTGCACTATAAGATTAAAATGAATTGTTACAATTGAAGGATGAATCGAACTGGGAATGGAGCGTATGGTCATCAATTGGTTTCACATTGCTATCATTTTTTGCAATACATTCAATTATTTTCAACATTAGCGGACTTTTTATTTCTGACCAAACCCTACAATTGATTACAATAACTTATTCAATCATTTACAGTTGCATTTTATTTACCAAATGGCTTGTCCTTTTATCAGTTATTCAGGGCACTTTTATCTTTTTTACTGCTTATTATTTCCGGTAAATTTTTCTCTTTTTTCTCTTAATATTTTATCCTAAACTTATAATTTTCCTTTAAATATATTTTTTTTCGCCTGGCGAACAACAATATTTGAAATGACTAAAGCCTTAATGCGTTATTGATTTTAACTACATCGATCGCATATGCGAATATTTTTCTAATAATTAAACAGTAAATCACTGAGCACAGAATTTTAGCTATTTATCAAAGAAAAAAGTGATAGGAAGAAAAAAATAGTCCATCAGCAAATTAATTTGATTTATTAGAGTTCCAATTTCTCAATCTTAATTTCAAGATTCTTAATCTTAGTTTTAAGATTGAGATTAGGAATAAATCTTAGTCTCAATCTTAATCTTAATTTTTTTTATATAACTCTCTCTCTAAATTATATATATGTTCGCAATTCTATAAAGTTATTTTTTAAAAAAAAATAGATACATGCAAAAATAGTGACAAGAATAATTGAGGAAATAATAGCTTACAATACATACATTTTCAATCTGAATTAAGTAATCAGTACTTAATCATACTTTAATTCAGATTGAAATTACCGTTGAAAAAATATTTTTAATATTAGACAGTAATCTGAAACATCGTACTATTAAATTTATATTTTTGATTACAGCCATCAACTTGCTGTATGGTTAAGTTCTATGCCAGTCCTCTACCTGACATTGCATTATACTTATCACCTGTCAACAAATCCCTTATTCGTTGTCGTCTTCGTATGTTATACCTTACTTTCCTATATATCCTACAATTTGGAAGCGCAAAATGGTGCAGTACGTCCTGAAGATAACACACTTCTGAAACGTTACGTTCGTATGCTTTTCTACGCTTTCTATCCGCCTTACATGACTACGTTAGTAGTAATTTATCCTGAATTTGAACGGCAAATGTGCCAACGTCGGACTAAAAAACGTAATTGGCGATCCGTTATATTTCTCGCTGTACGCATTGCTTTCTGGTGGCTTCTCATCTATTTGATGTTACACTTTATGTACTTCGAGTGGATACTTTATGATACTGATTACGCACGAAATTTGCCAAAAAATGAATTCGTATCCTTAGGAATGGCATTAGGTATGCTTTAAAAATTACTTATTTATTAAATAAAAAAGTTAATTTTTAGACTTTTCCTTTGCTTTAAATTTTTCAATTGTTTCAATTTGTTTGCAAATTTTAATTATT